ATTTAATTCGAAAAACCTAAATTTATTACTTCCCATGCGGTGCCGCGTCATTCCTCGTACGATCGAAACTCCCACTCGACGTCTTTTGTTTGGGTGTGCTTTCCACGTGGGCGCTGAGGTGGCCCATAATTTAGTGTTCTTCTCTCAAGCGGTTATGTGGTCCGGCTCTATCTTTGTCTTCTGTTTCTAATACATGGAAATAGACGACATCAATTCATTTTTCCCACAAAAAAGAGAAATGTGAACCGTCCATGTTCAAACCTTACTATCTCATTCGATTCTCAATCAAATCACTCGGAGTTTGTTCCCATACCTTTATCTAATTTAGACGAAGTTATCTATACATTAAATGAAATTGCATTTTATATTTCTTTCATAAAAGACCAAACCGAAGCTCATTTTAGGGAATTTTAATCCATACCTTGTCTCATGAGGTGTGGCCTCGATTGAGTTTGACAGAGAGCGTCACCTTGATGCCACTGTCCTCCTCCTTCAATTTGATATGAAATTGGCCCTAGCTATGAGCTAGGACAAAAGGTGGCTCGGTTTGGTGTTGGAATAGGTTGGAGGCCTTGTGAAGGCTTGATTTTGATTGAGGAAGTTAGCCTAAGCCTGTGTGAAGATTGAAGTTTTGGTATGGTTTATGCCAAGGCCAAAAAATGTCCTGGTTTTTAGTGGCCAAATTCGGGTTTTGAGGTGACTTGAGTGGCTTGAGGATGGTAGGGATGGTCTTCTCTAGTTAAGGGGAGTACTTTTGTTGTTGGGAGCAAGAGGTTTAAGTAGCCGAGTAGAGAGCTTGGTCGTGTCTAGAAGCTCTCGGGTTTGGGCTTTTTATAGCCATGGGAGCTTGGTGGTGAGCTTGGCTATGCATGGGGAAGCTCAGGCGACTCCTCAGAGAATTTATATAGAAATTTCAGGGGTTCTGGATTGTGGGGGGAACTTTTTCATTTTTCTAAGTGTTGGTCATGGTTGTGCCAATGAGTGTGAAGGTGGCATGGAGAAGAGGTTGGCTTGATTGGTTGGGGTGGCTAAGACCAAATTTGGCCTGGTTTGACCCACCTTGGCTTGGTTTAACTCCCCAAATTTTGAACATGAGCGGCTTGACTTGGGTGCCAAGTATCCTGCCCCATGGTGGAGAGTGCAAGGTTTATAATTTAGTGCTTGTCTCATGCTTAATTTAATTTGAATTAATTTTAATTTAAGTTGTAGTGTCATGATGGGGCATGGTAGGTGATGGTGAGTTATGATTGGTCATGGCAAGTTCTGGTTTGCTCATGTGGAATGGGCCAAGGAAGTTTGGCCATGGAGGATGGGCTCTGGGATTTGGTGCTAACCTAAGTATGTTTAGGTTTAGCCCAATAGTCTAAGGCTAATAGGCTTTCATAATTCACCTAACTAAATAATTAAATAAATTATGGGGGGTTGACCCCATAGCGCCAATTTTGTCCCCAAGTCGTTTTATGTCTTGACTACTTTGAGTGGGGCTCAATTGTATGGCACTAGGGTTGATTGGTTAAGAATTGACCAAAGTTGTCTTAGGCCCAAATTGTCAAAAGGGTGTGTTGGAATTTCAAGTTGAATTTTAGGGCTAATTGAGGTTGGGAGGCCCTTAGGTGGGGCTAGGGATCAATGTGTAGACCCCCCTTCCCATTAAAAATTTTAGTGTCATGGTGACTCTTAGAATCTATGAAAAGATTCAAGGTTTTGGGTTTCTTAGGTGATCCATGACATATCTTACCCAGAGGAGGCAACTTGGGTCTCTCACCAGGCCAAAACTCTAAACCAACACAATCAAGTGTCGAGGTCTAGGGTTTTGTTCTGATGGGGCCCAAGGGACCTTGATCTTGGTCTAGGGTCATGTTCAGGTAGGTAGGAGAGTCCACACAAAAGTGAGGATAAGAGTAATTTATTAAAATTACATACTTATCCATTAAGTTATAGCATCATCTTTGCAACAATGCCGCTAAATTAAGTTATAACATAATCTATGCAAGGAAATTTTCTTCTAGCCAAGCTCAAATTCTTTAGAAAAAAGCTTAAAATTCATTCTTTGTCTAAGTAAAAAAAATAAAGAAAGAAACAAAAAAACATCACCATATTTGTGAATTGCATGGTTGAGAAAACCTTTAAGCTTTTAGATTTGTGTTGTTAATCAAAAGCAAATTGTATGGTAGCTATGAGATTAATATTAGGCATAATTTGAGTGGAAGATCAGATCATGATTGATGCTTGAAGATATGTTCTTTAGTTTTTATATTTTATCGAAGTGCTTTTACACATCTTCAAGAGATTTGATGGCCAACATTTAGAAGCTCCAACATTCTATCCTACCCTTATAGCACAATGATATTACATGAATGAACATTGATATCATAATCATATGAACTGAAAATAATTGAGGTTTCTTTTTAACACAAATCCAAATAAATCTTAAGAACATACAAAATCTTGGAGCAGATCTGCAATTAATATCATTGAGAAGTTACATTTAAGAAAATGTGCAGAGAATCTGCATCATTAGTGCTTATTCATAGTGATTCATTAATGCAATCTACATGCTCAAAAGCAATCATGTAACACTCTGCCATGCCAAATGTTTTACCTCCAAACTACACATGAATTCATAAAAATTAATTATAATCCAAAATCACTTGGGATAAAGTCAAATAGCTGAATCATCTCTCTGTTCCTAATTTCTCAACAATTAAGAGAAAAAAAAAAGATAAAAAAAGAATAAATAAGTCCCATTACCATTTAAAAATTGCTCTTACCGCAAAACCTGCACATCCAAACAAATATAAAAATTGAGCCTTCCCGAGGAGACGAATCACCGCATATTTCCCTCCCGCAAGACATCTATCATGTCAAATATTCTTTTGTCAGCTTTGGACTGGATCTGAATGCATGTAAAATCCAAAATTTAAGAAATTTGATGAGGAATTATTTGGTTATGTGGTTGTTCGAAGATAAAAAATATGTTCTAAACATTGAGAATAAATAAGAATGTAAATGCCGCAAAAATAAAAGAATCAACTTTCAGAGAGTTTAGAGATAATTTGAAATCAATATCAGCATTTAGCTTCCATCAAAACATGATTTTTTTACTTCAAGCAAGTAACAATGAAAAAAAAAAAGGGAAAGAAAAATTTACTGACCTTCTTGTGAAGAAAAATGGCAGCATCAATTGTGCCCTCAGCATATATCGAGCGGCCGCAGACGTTATGCTGGAACTTGAATGATACTCTGATAAAAGCGAGCAAAGAATATCTAAGTAGGCCCACATAAAATCTGAAATTTCAGTAAAACTGAGGATAGAGATGTTTAATTACGTCTCGTCAGGCGAAGTGAGGAGGTACATATGGAATGCATGGCCTTCAAGATGCTCTTCAGGAACACCCACCATCTCTAGTTGTTTCTTAGGATCTCTGATCATCTTTATCTATCAATGATGGTACATAAAATCTATGATTTACGAGAAAGGAAATTCAATGGGCATATTTATGAATGTAAGTTAATATTCAATTCTAGAAGGGAACATCATATAACAACTATAGAGATATATCATGGAATAGGACATCATTTTAGTTACCCCGTTAAGCAGTTATTTGGAATCAATTTTATGTTTTGTTTAAATTGTTTTATACATAACTTCAAAATATATTTGTTTAATGTAATTTTTGTTTTTTTAATAAGATTTGCATGCATACCACTCCTAATCTATACATGAAAAAGTAAATTTCACTTTCTAAAACTAAAATAACCACATTTTTGATGTGATATGAAATATTTAGGTAGTATAATGTAAATAAGTGTTAGATATGTAAATATATAAGAATTGGGTGACATGTATGTAAATGCCCCTTCTACTTTTCGTTTATAAAAAGAAATACAGAAATCAACTTGTTTTTGAAAAAAAATGGGTATGGTTATGCAATTTAACATATTGGCAATGAAGGTTAATGCTCTAAGAAATTCATTAAAGAGCAACAGACCTTATTGACGTCAAATGAGACGCCCAGCTTCTGAAAGCAAGAAATAACAGCTTTAGCTGTACCAGATGTGTCTCGTTTGCCTGCTTGATGAGATTCCATCACCTGTTAATGTGTCAAATCCAGCAGTTCTTTTATTTTAGTTATATATGCAACTGGTTCTGAAAATTGACAATATTTGTGGGCACGAGAAATTATTTAAGACATGATGAAAGAGCAGCTCGAGCATGCATGAAAGGTTGCATATTTTGATGAAAATACTTTCATCATATAATAAACGGGTAGGGTCAAATTTCGGTCAAGCAGATTTGGTTCGGATCAACTTAGGACTAAACACAAACTGACCGGTTAAGCTGTATCGGCACACCTAGTTACACCCCAACATACATGGACATAAATTACATACTAGGAGGTGTTGGTTGTTAAATTTTTTGCTTAATAATTTCTATGTAATTGTTTTTATCAAAACCATAATCATATCCAACAAACCAATAATACTGACCATATGGTCAAAAGTGGAGTTTAGAGTAGTTTCTAGAGTATGAGATCATTTCAAAGGGAGATGAGGTAAAGTTGAGGGGGCCTGTTCCGACAAGATGGCAGAATCAATTTGATAATTAGTATTTAGCACATATAAACTGTGTCACGACCCGGCCCGGGGGCTTGGAGATTTCAAAGTTAGAACACAAATGGTGAAATTAAAATTTTCTATGCTCATTTGAAATCACTAGCAGTTACAATGCAAATAAATTGAAGGAATACTAAAGAAAGTAACTTAATTTAATAAGCTTATCTTTGTGCTTGCTAACTACGCCTTTTGTATATATTCAAATTTAAGCTTTTAAATAGAAGATGAGTAATAGAGAAGAGAATATATTTATATATATATATATTAAAATTTAAATAGAAGATGAGTAATAGAGAAGAGAATATATATATATATATATTAAAACAACATAATGAGTTATTTAAAATCGCTCAGTTGAATAATTACACTTCTACAATAATTCAAAAAAAAAAAAACAAGTTAATATATAAGTCGGTATTTCCTATTGTGATATAATAACCTAAATCATCTAATCATGACGTGTACATATGAAAGAAATCTAAAATTTCTACATGTATTTACATTTATTTTACTTTTCAATAAGTAATCTTTTAATTCTTAAGATTATTTTTATTATTAACTTATATATCTGCCTCAGAAGCATTGTCTGAATAAAATTTAACACATCCTTGACTGATAAATACAAGTTTTGGCATAGCAAGACATAGAACAAGTCTACTATTGCCTGAGGTTGAAAGGTATATGCTCACTCATGATCGCTATTCCTCCGTTGACACAACGGTTCATGATCCAAATTACGTGATTCTCTATGATTGTAAAAAAAAAAAGAAATTTTTTGTGCGCAGGTACATTGACATCCTCAGTCACTACCAGAATGGTGTGAACTCTTCTTATCATACAAACATTCATGTATATAATATTTTCATTTCATTCTTCAAATCAGCATTATTTTCTTATGAGTCAATTTGTATTTATCTACCAATAAAAAAAGTATCTCTATTAGAGTTTACAAGTCAGATAATAATCTAATATCATCTTAGAAGAATTATTATGCAATTATTTAACAAAATATTAACATGTATATCTTATATCTAATAATATGAAGAAACAGTTGTAGTTTAACTCTCATTGATATAGAGCATCATTGTAAAAAATTAAAAATTAAAAATATTACTGTAATTTTAGAAATATAATTACTCACATAACCCTTTTTGGTAATTCTTTTACCACTAAATCATTGATGACCTTCCCTATTCAGCATCTATAAAGGCAAAACATAACATTTTATCAACTTCATTATTTCTCTTAATCATTTTTTAAAATCTATAAGAATTCTCTACTCAAAATCCTAAAGTCTTTCCAAAAGCACTTTACTTTAGATATTTACATATTTTTGAAGTAAAATTCCACAAATAGAATTTACCTCACTTCTTCCAGCAGGGCCAATAACTCCTTAGTATTGTCTAATCCTCAATTGTAAATTCTTGGTATTTATTTCGAGAAATCTAGCATTAGTCTTAATGAACTTTAAAATTAAAGTAATTGGCTCGAACATAAAATTAAAATTCTAACTTTCCTCCGTTATCTTGCATGAAATAAACAAAATTTCAATTTTCATATTTTAAGATCAAATAAATCTCAAATCTTGATTCATGCTAATAATTTGTATGATTTAATATTAATTTTATAATAAACATCAAATTTAAATTAAATCTTTTTCCCCCACTATTGTCGAATCTTCTCTTTCCTAGGCAAAAATATAAATCCTTCTCTGCATTATGATTTTAATAAAAAAAAATCAATTAAATAAAATAATCATCTTTTATAAATAATAACCTAACCCTTCTAACCTTAAGTTCTTGTTTCGGCCCTACTCCCCCGTCAAGCAAGCTTCTTCTCCTTTTCTGCTCGAACCAACACGAAGAGTCACTAGGCTCGATCTTCTTCCTTTTTCCACCACGACACCACTTGATTTGGTCGAACAATTAGCCCACAAACAACTCTCATCCTTCGGATTCAAGGTGTCATCATATTTGCAATAGATACATGCAATCACCCTCACGCTCCACCTCTATTTCGAAGCCTTCCTCCACATATGTCCCTCCTCTTGTCTGCACAATAAGTTCAGCTAAGATTACGCGTGTGATTCCTCTCTCTTCTTTCTTCCTTTTCTTCTCACCCCGGCTTTCAGTTCTTGCGCTCGTCCATCTCCTCTAGTTCGATGAAACAACATAATCTTCTCACCTAAGAAACCGTTGAAATGGTTATTTCAAAATGGCCTATAATTTTCTTTTTTTTATATATGTAGTTATTACAAATCTTGTGTCCATAACATGATTAATAAGCTAAAATGAAGAAGGCACATACAGATTGATTTTTTTCAATTTTGGAGGAACTTGTAATAAACAAAATAATCATTATTCATTACCAAAAATTTTGCAAATTAACACTGAAAGAATATCATCATTTTACTTTCGCAAAGAACTACATGAACAATTATTAATTCATCTCTCTCTAGCCAAAGAGAATAAGCATCAATTTCAATAAGGACATAGGCAATAAATGATCAAGATAATTTAGTGGTAGTAGCGCCACTTGTATTTGTTTGCTAAGAATTGATACTAGTGAGTATAGTGTAGAATAATTGATAACCCATACAAGAGTGAAAGGAGTCCTCTAAAAAATATAAATGCGTGGAGATCATGTAGGGGTCTGTCCTGAAAAAAATATATTATTGATTAATCAAATAAAATAGCATTTTATTTTAATGTTTATATGCATATATACGATAATAAATATCATTAAACTTTTTAATATGATCTTGAACACTATATATGAGTGTTGCTATACACAACATGATAATAATTAAAAAATAATAATATAAAAATATTTCTGATTTATAAATCAAAGTTAGGATCTTTAATTGAATAATTACAAATAAGTTCATCTCAGTTCTGAATTCGACAATCTTATATGAATTGTTAATGTGTCAGATATTGAGATGAAAGTATTTTATATAATACTAATTATAAAGTTGTGAAACTAAATTCATTTGAATATCTGATAAATCCATTTTAATATAAAATATTCAAATTATATTAATATGTCGACCATATATCGAATGATATTAATTATGAGTGTTCAATAGACTACTATTAATTAAATAATATTATTAGATTTATTCTATAAAGATTCAAGTGTTAACATACCCTTTATATTTTGGAAACATAATGATTTAAGTTTAAGTTTCTGGAAAATATTGATTTAAAAGATAAAATCTATTTATTCTTTATGAAATTTGAAAATTAGTTCTCTTAATATGTTGATTCAGTCTTAAAACATAATAGTGTTTAATTTATTAACAGATCATAAATTTATTAATCATTGGAAAATCAACGGAGAATAAGAATACAAATGTGCTTAGCGATGTCAATAGAATGAACCTAGCTCTAATTGTGAACTATTAATAAAGGATCCACCTTTTATGATTATATCAATAAAATATTCATATTTCTTAAATAGTTCACATCTATAATTTCAAGAGCACACTAATTAACTTCAGAATTAATGTAATTGATAATAACTTTAAAGAGTTTAATTAAAAATCGATTTTATTGGAGCTTGAAGTTGTAAGTTCACAACTCTCCGTATCTTTTCTAATGTACTTTTGGACAAATATAATTATTGAGAATAGATTAGTAAACTCATAATCACCTATCAGATATAAAAGTGTGAATGATCTTCAAACTTAAGCAGCCAAAGGCATATTCACCAACCAAAATATAGAAACACTGTGCTGACAATTCAAAAATCTCAGCACAAGAAAAAAATAACATGTTTACCACGAAAGGCAGCGTGTGATGACAGAGCAACGTACAAAATCTTTCTTTCAAGTCAAAAAATATACGAACCAATGTAAGGTATAAGATGTTGAAGGGGAGAGCTTTCAACAAAGACATTATAGCAAAGAGACAATAAAATCAAAGTAAAAAAGCAAAACAGGAAAAAAAAAAGGCTTAATAAAAACAAGGACTACTTTTAATTGATCTTATTAATTCAGGTAAAAGTACCCTTCTAAAGTTCAAAGGCAAGAATAAAATGAAAATTCATTTATGAAAGAGCAGCAATAAACACCATCCCAAAACTCCATCTTATGCAGTTAAAAGCTCATATTTATGTTTCTCTATTAGACAAATAGTAAATAATTAGAAACCTTGATGTTTAAAAGTAATTACAAATAATTAGAAAAGATAAATGGCTGGATTTGCATTGTACATTAAAAAAAAAAATTACTAACAATATCAAAAGCTGACAATTAAAATTAATAAAGTAAGCTGATAGTGTATAATTTGCAGTTAAACCTAAGCCCCATTTGGTATCTTGATGAAAAACATCTGGTATTTCGTCTAAATGATATGTAGATCTAAAAAATTAGCATCAAATATATATAGTTAAAAAGTGACAGTCAATCCCGAATTCCGAATGGTAAAATCATGAAAAAATTAGTGGCATAAAGGTTCCTTAGATGAGAACAGGTAGATATTCATGCCAAAGAACCACAAAACTGGTTCGATGCCATTATAGATAGTGACAGAGGATAAGCTTAGGTGATCTCAAGAAATAACAAGCGGCAGATCATATGAATCTTTACATTACACGTTCAATAAGGTATTCTCAAGAATTTCAGTACCCATGTATTTGAAAGAATCAAATATATATAAGAGATAAAAATCCTTCCAAAGTATACGTGATTCCTCAAATATAATCACTTCAATGATGTGGAGCAAAAATAATATCAAATTATGCTAGCCATGTTGAGAGAGTTTTAAGATATAGTACATGCAGGTGGCTCCAAAAGAAGCACCCATGCCAACAAACAGTTTTCAAGGCTTTGAAAAGATCTAAGCAAATGTAATCTAGCAAAGATTAAGTAAAAGAAGGACGAAAAAATGGCATAAATCCAGTTTCTCCTATCATTGGGAAAGAGAATTTTAAAACTATATAGTAAATTAGTCTTACCTGCAATGAATAGCCTGAAAATGCTCCAGGAAACTGCTCAGCCATAATTTCCATAGCTGCAAGAAATGCGACAACCTACTCAAAAGAAGAAAAACACTGTGAACATCTCATTGACACAGAAAGAAACCTGCAAAGCAGAAAATTATTCTGTCGATTTTGAGAAATTTAAACCGACCTGTTTCCCCATCTGTGGAGAAATTACTGCATAAACATTTGCATCTTTTACTGTCTTATACAACAATTCCCTGTCTCCTCCAGTTGTGCCCATCACAAATGGCACGCCTAGTTTACAATAAAGTTCAGCATTTCCTGCAGCAATAAATATATGTACTCAGACCGAATCACACCTAAGCATCGATGGATTATTTCTGCATCGCTGGAGAACATAAACACAACAGCGGAAACAATGTGCACTGCTTGTGAACCAACCAGACAATTCCAACTAATTATAAAATATTATTGATTCAATTGCCAGTAATTCTATTTGACAGCAATTTTTCCCTTAGTATGAGAGGTTCCCTTGATAAATGTAATAGTATTGTGGGTTGGTTTTTAAAACTACAACTTCAAACTTTTTAGGAGGGGGAAGATATTGCTCCATCTGAATGTCTTAGTGGAATGAATCCTCGAGAGTGAAGGTATTTTGAGTCAACTTTATTGATAAATGTCTATCTAAAACTTGAAACAAAATATAACAATGGTGATCCTATGATCTTCTATGATGTCACATCTACCATTACTTCATCAAAACAAATCATATAATCATCAACTAGCATCAAAACCTGCCTGTCAATGTAGTCAGTTACTCAAAAAGTTGATCATTAAATGTTAAAAGATACTCCCTTGCTTTACTCCTTTTGTTCATTCCAATAACCAAATGGTGCTTGTCCCAACCTTTGGAGTTGTCATTTTAAGTTCAATAAGTAGGTTTTAGCATGACCAACAAGCTTCATTCATATATATTACACCTGACAATCTTCTAATGTAGTCAGATAATCAAGGTAGAGATCAATATCAGTGATGCAATCTGCAAGGACCTGGGGCTTTAAATAACCATTAAAAGCAGGGGAATTAACTTTAACACCTTCATAGATGTCATAATTAAGATGACAATAATTACACCCCAAGACAGAATGATGGGGAGGCTCCATAAAAAGATGTGAAACTTGCGCCAGGTGAAATGATTGATGGTCAAAGCCATCACACCTACCAAAAGGCATGTTAGTTTTGAGGGGTGAAATTCATTCATCCAAGGAATAGCTATCCATAAGAAAAAAGAAAGCAAAATGCCAGTTTTCCTATGGCAATGGTGGTGGTAGTGGTGGCTGTGGAGGACTTGGATCAAGAGGATGGGCTCATTTACCTCTCTCATAGTGTTATGGTTGTCCAATATAAGGTTTTAGGTCATGTTGCCTATGGTTTAAGGGACTCGGTTTTTTTTTTTATTTATTTAATGCTTGAATCCTATAATTCAAATCATGGTGCATGAGATTCATATCATATAGTTATTATTGATAACAAATTAAAATTTCATAGTACTAGTGATCTAAAGTTCAACCCTAATAAGGGAGTCCATTACGAGTTGTCATTGTGAGTTTTAAAGAAAAGGAAAAAAGAAAAATGAGAGATAATACACTAAATAGAAAGTAAAGCAATGATTAATTTGCTTTGATACCAAACTAATGCAAGCAAGCTAAATGTTTACATGAAAGTAACGTTAAACTCAAGACACAATATACCACCCAAAATTTAATAACACAAGATCTACCCGGAATCATGACGTAAAATGACTCAATTACATAAAAAAGAAACAAAATAAATGAAGATAACATTAAACTCGCCATATAAAAATCAATCAGTACGTGAGAATCCAACAAGCACAACCAATACCCTGTTAAATAGATATAAGGGCAAAAATTAGTATGGTTCTTAACAAGATGCTCTATATCACATGGTCTCTTACTCTACTTCAAATTGTCTCTAACACACACACACACGCATATATATATCTATATATATATATGTATAGCTAAAAGGAAGATAACTTGGTGGAGATCAGAAAAATGTTGGAACCCTAAATGTGCCAAATAGTGTTATTATAACTCCAACAACAAAAAATATGCGGGTAAAAAAAAAAAAAGAAGATACAGTGGATATAGTAAAGCAAAAGTTTTGTTTACCATTCACTGCATCAGGAACTGTATAATCAACCACTATAACATTAGGATATTCATTATATACGGCAGAAAGGACATTCTCTCTTTCAGATGGACCGTGGATCATAATCTCTACATTACCAATTTGTAAAGTTCTATTCGGTTTCTCCAAATTGCTAAATGTCACAGGAACCAACTGGAGACCAGCACAAACTGCTGCATCAGCAACCGCCCTGCCCATTCTTCCAGCACACCCATTTATCTGGTAAATTTGAATGGCATGATTAAGAGAAAGATGAAGATACTGATAAAAAAAAAATTATGAAATCAAAAGATACTTTTTCTGCATGAATTCAACATCTATATAACATGCTAATATTATCAACCACATTACTAGTTTTCCTTTCAACTTACTCTAAACATTTCCAATGAAAAGTGTAAAAGAATTTTTAATACTTTGTCGAGTAGAAACTATATAAGCAAAGTACTTTCAGTTATTCATCAACTGAATCCAAACTAAGATAATAGAGAAATTATGTTCAGTTTCAAATACATGGAATGACATGGGACACAATATGCTGTGGAGGACTTTGAGAGAAAAATAGGAGATTCAGTATGAGGGATTGGCTAAGAGAATTTAGATGACATCATTGGGATGAGAAGCAATTTTCAAGAAAAAACATTTGCTTAGTAAACAAAAATACAACGTAGTGAGCCAGCATTTAGTATGTTTCCATGAAGAGTAGTTTAGCATAAGTACATGGTTCCAAATAGTCTTAGAGCAATAATCTCAATCATTAGTATTATGTATGCAATAGATGATGGAAAAGTGAATAGTAGAGCATGAATTAAAATATAAAAGTTGCAACTTACCTTGAGAAAGGAGCAAAGGAGACCTGCGCACTAAGTTTGGCAATAAAGTTTGAAGTAACAATGAAATAGAATTTTTTCTTGCTTGGTGTGATTACTCTCTTCAAACTTGGGAGAGGGGAGCATTACACGTTTTACTTCCCATCCACCATAATCTATTGAATTGGTCAAAGAGTTGTGTTCATAGGAGAAAAAAAATTTGCGTGCTACAATGAATACCTAGTCTCATTAATGAGAACTAAGAGAATTGGAGTATCCAAATATATATATTGTACCTGAAATACTTGGGAGGTAGTGGAGAAAAGCTATGAGAAGCTTTAAGATGAAGCAATTCTAAAAGCAAGCCAAAGAGAGCAATTAAAGGACTCTAGCAAGGACAATAAGATGCTCCTTCTCATCCACCAAGGTTTGATGAAGCCAAATTTGAGATCATTATTTGTGTATCTAAAGAAATCCAAGAGAATTCTACATTATATCAAAGGTATAGTATGTCATGGCTTATCATATTCTATTTCAAATGGGTTTCATGTAGTTAGCAATTTGGATTGATTGGGGTGGAGTTCTTGATGATCCAAGGAGAGCTTGTATATTCAACATGGGTGATACAACATTTAAATAATCTTAAAAGAAATAACAAATGTCCTTGCTTCATGTATGAAAAAAAGTATGTTGTGGCATCATTTAGTCTGCATCATGCAAAATGTCTATGGAAGTCATTAAAAAAAATTTTGGTGACCACAAAGTCATGCTACAAAAGTTTATTGGGATAAAATATCAATATTGGCTTTGACAAAGAATTTGATGCAATATGAAAGGAGCAACCACATCAACATTCGCTTTCATTTTATAAGAGATTAAATTGAAGTGAATGAAATCCAATTGGATTACAACAAGTCTGTAAATTAATTTGATGACATTTCACTAAATCTCTTATATTAGAACAAATCATCAAATTGAAAACATATTGGAAAGGCTAATGGAACAACTCTTGGCTATAAAATTTTGGGGACTATTAAACTAGAAAACAAATGCACAAAATAGTGAATGACTTTTAGTATTTTTGAAAAAGTGCCTTTTAGTCTTCTATGTACATTGTTTGAAAGAGTCTTGATGTACGTATCTAACAAGTAGCCCTTAGTTATGCATATATTAGATAAAGGGAGGTAAGAGTTTCTGAATTCATGAGAAGATGAAAGGATCAAAAGTTGCAAATTTACCTATAAAAAAGGGCCCTTTGTACAAAGTTTGCAATAGAGCTTGGTTCTAATGATATAGTATTTTTTTTCTAAGCATTATACCTTTTTTCTTCTCATTCACCCTTATCCATCAAAGATTACATTTTTCAAAATAACTGTAGTAGAAGGATTGCAAAAAGATTTCTAGGATATATAGAAACATTAAGAAAAGAAAAGAAATTGGATTGTCATAAATGGTGTAAAGAGTACAAGCAAGATGTTCATACTTATCAAAAGCATGCCATCGAGAACAACAACAACAACAAGCCATTATCCCACTAAGTGGGGTTGGCTACATGAATCTTTTCTCTCCATTGTGTTCTATCAAGTGTCATATTTTTATTTAATTCTAATTAATTAATACTATTTTTTATCTATCTCTGCCTTTCTTAACATAAATCGAATCTAAAACATCTACTCTCCTAACCGGATCATCAAATGATCAACATTTAATGTGACCGAATCATCTAGGACGATTCTCCCTAATCTTTTCTGCCACTTATCAGAAGCATGTGCTAAATTAAAGATAACCAACCCCCGCTTTACATTATTAAAATCTAAATTTTCATATATACATGCATAACGCTTAACTTTATCATCACATTAAAAATACTACTATTACTAACTTTTTAAAAGTGAAATACACCTTTTAATACCTAGGTTTATGACAATAAGTGTTATAAATGTAAATATGAACTTTTGGTGTTATATATGTAAATAGAAAAGAATTGGTGGTATGTAAATTTCCAAAAAATGAAAATAAAGTTGAGCCCAGCAGCACAGCTTCAAAAAATGAAATCAAAATGGCTTCTTAAATCCTCAGCCATTCCCTATTGCTTACCACAATCCATGCCCAAATACTACAAACCCCGTTCCAATCCAATCATTCAAACATAGAGAAATCCTAACAGCATAAAACCTCATAAACCCTAACACAGAAAAGATTTAAAATTCTAGCAGAAAGCAACGCCAAAAGACATACACATAAGATCAAAATCGCATTTTTTTTCTGGAGTTAAAATCAGACCCCAAGTCACAGAAGATAAGCACGTACCAAGATTGGAAAAGAAAGGCCTGGCTGTTCGGTGGCCGGAGTTTTAACAGGACTTGTAGCAGCATAAGCTCTGACAATGGAAGTGTTCGGTTTCGGATGGCATCTCCTGCTCTTATCAAACAAGGAACTGCGCAGCCTCGGACTTCCTCGTGATATAAGGGTAGTATTGAGGCTAAGCGAACTCATTGTCTCCAGGAATTCGCTTACTAGGAACTTCAAAATTAGGCTTTGATGCTGTCTTTAGCCCCAGAAGATGAAATTGCGGCGGAAACGTCTTACATTGGCCTTTCCGGCCAAATCCGGCGACTTCTTACGACTGTTTAATCAAGGGATAGTTTAAGGCTAGTTTGGGGCAGCTTTTTTTTTAGCTGCGCGGCCCGAAAGTGCGATATTCGGCATTTGGTTATCAGATCTCGGCGGTTTTTTTTTAAAACTTGTAATTAACGTGGTAGGGGTTCGACCCGTGATCCAGCAATTTTAAGTTGCGGCCTCTCTCTTGATGCCATCGGTCTCCCGCGATTCCTCTTCCTAGGTGGATACCCTTCTTGGATTTGTTTCACCGGCGGCTATTCTCAGTTGACTTGGTATTCCGGTGACGTTTTACGGTCTTTTCCTCACTGCTCTGTCCCAATGCTCGGACTTTGGTAGTTTTGTGTCATTCGTGTTCTGTGGTAGATCACTTCTGTTTGGTAGAGCACTTCTTTTAGAGTAGTTATTTCAGTTGGTGATTATTCCATTGATGTGTGTATTCTCACATCCCCTCCCCTTTTTTTTTTCGGCTCGGTTTGGTGATTGTGCGATGTTCCCCCTTCTTACCTTCTTCTTCAGTTCGGCTTGGTGGTTTGTGTGGTTGTGCGCACTGTGTTGGTTGTGATGTTTTCTTCTGAGATTGCTGGTTGAATGATTCGGCTTTGTGGTAGGTGGGGTTGCTAATGTATTCCTCGGCCACAATATGGTTGTTGGTCATCTCTAATAGCTCAGCCATGGTCTTTATTTGTTACAGGCCCAGAGCGTATTGAAATCTCTCTCCCCTTGACCCTTGATATAAGGTTGCATGTGCTAATATGGGTTCTAGATTCTGTACCTCTAGAATCTCCTCCTGGAATCGAGTTATGTAGGCGTGCAGGCTCTTGTATTGCCCATGTCTAACCTGTCACAAGGCTTGGAAGCTCTTTCATGGCTTCTTGGTGTTCACGAACGAAGCCACAAATATCCTTTTAAAGCCAATAAAAGTGATGATTATCTCAGCGAACAATCCATTAAACCATTTTAGGGCCAACTCCCTCAGTATTGTGAAGAATAGGCTACACTTCAGAATGTCAGCGATCCTCAATAGGCAAATCGTCAACTTGAAGGACGTGACGTGATCGGTCATAATAGAATGGCCCTTGCAAGAGTCAAGCGACAAAACTCCGAACTTCTAGGTGGGTTCGACAATCATTTTCTATTCACCAACATGGACCCATCACTACCTGATAATATTGCTCTTTTACTGTAGGTGTTGGTCCTTCCCGAGGGTCTAGTTCTCTTCTTCTAGTTACTACTTTTCTAATGGCAACTAACTTCTGTTCCAATATTTTATTTTTTAGCTCCTAGATCTGCTACTGAACAAAATCCTTGGCGCACTCCATCTTTACTGCATCTCCATGATGGACTTCTTCTTCTGCTACTATTCTTGTTGGTGGCAAGATCCAGGCTCATCACACTTTTCAAGATGTTGAATCTAGATCTATCCCATGAATCCTACCCAAGGAATAGAGCGTAAACATAGAAAATCGAAAGAGAGAGAAAGTGTGTGTTTGCGTTTATACGCACAATAAAAATATTGTTCTTTTAAAGGTCACTAATTAACCCTTTACAGTAGAAATGACCCCCTATTTATAAATAGTTGGGTATAAAGTGGAAAATTTCATGATTGCTCCTAATTTGGGGGGGGGGGGGGGGGTGTTAGAGGGTATTTTAGGTAAATAGAAAATAAAAGAGCCTATGGTTCAGCTTCCCTATCGTTCAATCAGCGAGAACTTGTAATTTGTACATTTGACTGACTCTGTTGTCTTGGGGCGATCGGTCAGACATATGGTTCTTTGATCATTTAGACTTCACTCGGTTGCTTGAACTTTGGTCAGTTATCTAGATCCGACTGTTGACTATTGAATCATAGATGAGAAACTCATGTTGTTGGGGTAGAACTATATTGTCGGGTAGAGGGTTGATCACTGTAACTTGACAGGGGGTCTATCTCTTTTGACAAGAGACCAGTTCAGAGTGCTCCTTGATTATTCTGTTATGAGGCCCATGGGCCTTCTAAAGAGTCATGGAGGCCTTTGTGGGGCAATTGGTGTCATTTGAACGTGGGTTGGAGTAGCTCTATCCCTACATTAAGAAGGTTTTGATCTTTGAACCCGACGACCTTCAATCGGTCGATTTGACTCCAATTCTGAGGGAACAGTGGCTGGTCAACGAGATCCTTTGGCCTTTTGCTTACGTATGTATACATACATACATCTATATATGTATGAATGTATTTAGACATACATTCATAAATATGTACATACACACATAATTACATACATAAATACGTACGTACATGCATACATGCAAACCAAAATACATACATTCATACATATATAGAAAGATACATACATTCATACATATATAGAAAGATACATACACACATACATATATATATATATATAT